CGAGTTGCCATGAAAATACGTCCGCAGTGGTTTTCTGCACGAAGCAAACTGTAAGTCTTGGATTATCCTTCAGAGGCACAGTTCACGATGACTTATGTACCTTTTTGGGTTACAGGGTAGAAGTGAGGGTACGAACCAGTACTTCAGTGGTAAAGAAGAGGGGAAAATCTGAAGGAATCCTGAAATGAGGAGTTGGATGGGCGATAAATGGGGTGTTTGGACGAGATTCCAGTGACTGCTGACAAGGGGTGTTAGCTCTCTGGCCAGCTATCCGCATTTGCAAGAAACGTGCTCCATTTCAAATAACGTCAACCTCTATACACGTCCTTTCTTGGGAGTCTTGAGCAGCTGAGAGCTGAGGGACCAGTCATTGAGCTCTTACAAGGTAATCTAGGGAAAGCCAGTGTTCCACTGATCTCATCGAGAGCCAAAGATTTCTACCAACAGATGGCTTAGGAACCATTTCCATCTTGAACTGTTCCTTTAGGGCTGATACAGATTGATCAGATCTTCGATTGCAGGCGATCAATACAGGATCGATCATCTCGGCATTTCACTTCTCCAAACTCGTCCGCAAGGTTAAAGCTGGAGAAGCGTCCATTATGTATCAAAACTAACGGTAACATAGTTACTACTGCTATGCTCGTCTAGAGAGACCATCATGCCCTTTGTGTTGTAGGGACCACAGCCAATGGTGCTATAGCCGATTTCCATCCGGCCTAAATTTTATCATACTTCACAGTTGTGAAGATCCTTATCACATTGATATCAACTGCTTTGTTGTTGTTGTTTTTTCACGAAGAAATCACGACTAACTCAGCTGACTGACATGTGTCATATGGTCTGGTTTTTCGAATGTAATCCATCATTTTTGCCTCATTTTTTTTACTGTAACAAAAGATTTTCTTACGACCTCATCCGCTTCCTGTATCGGGCTCAGAATCCTACGGGTTCCCTATGACCTATTCACTGCTCGTGTTGTAAGTATTTCTTTCCAACCACTTTCCCTAGATTTTCGTAGACACATCATGATGTATTTAATGAATTATTGTATAATTTCTAATAAAGACAAATAAAATTATAATTAAATGAAGTTCACCTGAGAAGAGCTTACCTGACCGTCACTTATGGTTTTGTGAAGCCTAATTAGGGCTGTTCCTCACGCTCAGTTGATTGAACCGTCTCCGGTGACGATTTTGTGGCTATCTAACTCTTAGGACAGAAATTCCACGTACGGCTTTCTATGAACCTCGGCATAATTACTCTGTTACTGAGTTGTTTTCTTTAACTCTTCAAGAGGTTTGTATACAAACCTTATTGGGCTGACGTTTCGGCGGA